TATATGCCATCAAATCATTGTTGACTCTTAGTGACCATATAGACAGATTTTCTCTATGATGACATGTCCTAACCTGGTCTTTCAGATCTTCCAATGGTGCAATCATCACCATTGTAACTGACCCCATCCACACATTAAATATGCATAAATCATATGTGTATAAATGTATATATACACATAATACACATATATATCCTCAAAATAAATGTAGAAATAATTATGCCACTTCTGACCAAATAAACCTAGTTTCGCCATAGATTCCTTGTTAACTTTCCACTATATCGAGCATGATGTTATTTTTAATGATTGACTGGGTTTCCCTTGTTTTTATTATGCTTGTTGATTATTTGTTTTAAAAATGGCTTTCAGCTGTATCTGTTGCTTTTAAGAATAAATCTGTCCATTGACTGTTGCCAACTGCATTGTACTATTTAAAACAGTAAGAGAAGGGGAAAAAATTAGCATCACCTTTGTTTTCTTCCATAATACATTTTAACACCTTTGCCTGTTTTGCTAACATAAATTAAGCAAATATGAATATAATTTTTAAATTATGTTCACAGCACTCCCCCATACAGCTGTTGAAAATTCACTCCAGCAATATTCTAATGTTTGTTCAATTTTCACCCCTAATATTTTCTGAAAACCAAGAAACTCTACTCAATGTCATTTTTCTTGGTTAAAACCTAAAAATAAAACTAAACTAAACAAGAGGCTATAGAGTAAGTCATATAAGATGTGAACCAGGCTGAACTCATCATTCAACTATTCTTGTTATCTCCTCAGTTTTTAGTGTTACTGGCAGCAATTCTCCACATAGATTTAATACATCTGTGAGGATGCTTTTGTTTTTATTCTACTCCTTTACTCTTTCAGGCATGGGAAACTGTGGTTTAAAGCTCCTAATAAAAATTGAGGCGTCATTAGCAAGAGAAAGAACAGTGAGCTCTGAGCAGTCTGTAGGAAAACCAAGATGGCCCTCCATCAAGTTAGTGAAAACAGAGCAGAGAAGCCAGCAAGAGCCATGTGGTGCAAGCATGGTGATCACCAGCTATGTTTCTCCAAAAAAGGCAGCCAGCTGCCATAAGGAAGCCATGTGCAGTCTTGCATATGAGTGACCCAGCAAGATCCATGATGGGAGAAAGAGGGGAGAAGTAATCATGACAGGAAAATGACCATAGGCTCCAGAGCCTAAACACTGATAGATTCAATGTTTCATTATTTGCAACTTAATCACCTGTGGCTTTATGCTGGAACAGAACCTCCACAAATAATGAGGGCAACCTGTAATGTGCTGTCAGGTGCTTTCCAAGGAAAGCTAGGAAGCTGTAGAGTTACCTGGGTTAACAGGAGAGGAGAGGAGAGGAGAGGAGAGGAGAGGAGATGTGGGAGCTGCTTGGAAGAGAGTGAAAAGACTAATGTGTCAGAGTGCCACAGAAGTACATGGACTTACGCTAAAAGAATGGTAGTTAGAACGACAAAGTGGAAATGGTGCTGCAAAATGAGGATGAGAGAAAATTATTGTATAATATGTATTTTGAAAAA